GTGGTCCTCCTCTGGACCCACTCCAACTGTTCCATGTCCTTCTTGTGCTGAGGGCTCCAGACCTGGACGCAGTACTCCAGGTGAGGTCTCACCAGAGCAGAGTAGAGGGGCAGAATCACCTCCCTCGACCTGCTGGCCACACTTTTCCCGATGCAGCCCAGAGTACGGTTGGCCTTCTGGGTTGCCAGCACACATTGCCAGCTCATGTCCAGCTTTTCATTCACCAGCACCCCCAAGTCCCTCTTGGCAGGACTGCTCTCGATCCTTTCTTCCCCCAGCCTGTACTGATACCAGGGATTGCCCCGAGGCCTTGTTGAACCTCATGAGGTTCACACAGGCCCACCTCTCCAGCCTGTCCACGGGCTCACAGATGGCACCTGAGCCCTGTGGTGGGAAGAGCTTGACTGAGCCGTAGCCACCCCTCAGGTTTGGGCTATGTCGGAGGAGCACAAGCTTGGTTTTGGGCCTTCCTTGGTTTGGACCAGCGCAGTGGATCAAGATACAGGTGAAATGAGAGGGCTGAGACACGCACGGGGGGAGGTGGGTGGGTGTACATCAGCCACTACAAGATGGCAGCTGCCTCTCCTTTTTTTCCATGACAAGAGATATTGGCAATGACCTTTTCGTTTTTAAGCAAAAGAGGAGCCTTTAGAAAGGCTGGTAGGTAGGTTACCGGTAGATGAAGCGTTGCAATTATTAGCAATTTCCTTAGTGGGGTATTAACGAAGCAGTACTTTGAGTACTGGAAGCATCTGAGGGCACGTGGCGGCACGGCGCTACTGGCAAAAAGAAATCCAAAGGAAATGCCTGCTGAGGTGATGCCGGTGTTTCAGCAGAGCTGCCGCGTTGTTTTATCTTCCAGGCTTGCTCTGAACCCTGGGCTTTCTGCCCCACAGAGGGGCTGCTGGTGGCGGTGCTGGGTCTCCCGCTTATTCCTCAGTCAGCTGGCAATGTAATCAGCCCCCTTCGTCATTACAGGGCTACAGAGGCTGGCTCACGTCCTTCGCAAAGGACACGTGCCTTTCATACCTCGAATGAACCTGCTGCCGAGGATGTGGTGTTGGGTGTACGTTACTAACCGCGTATTTCTACTTGGAGGCGGGGGGGGGGAAAAAAAATCCCCTTTCCAATATTTTTAATGTAACCTGGGAACCAAAGACCTATAGGAAGAATTAACCCGCTTTCCGATCCAGATGCCTCCCTCGCTTTAACGGGTAGCTCGGATCCAACCCAGTAAAAACTCTCTTGTCGGCTGGGAGCTGGATTACGGCCCCGCGCAGGTGAACAGCTCTGCTGATGGAAATTGTTTTGCAGGCTTGAGGTTTTCCTGGCCAGCCGCGTTCTGGTGAGGCGCCTGTGAGCTGACCAGGTGCCCTCACAGGCTCCTCCAGCAGCGGGAAAGTTGTTGGATTAACTGCAGCCGGCGGGGCAGCAAGAAGGGACTTTCTGCTTCCCCTCGGACATTTCCCTTTGCAGACAGGCAGGCGGCTCGCGCACCTCGGCTCGTTCTGTAATTTCTGGCCTCGCCACCGGCCGGCTCCCTG